TATTCTTTATTAATTGATTATAAAAAGAGGGAGAGAACCCGGGTGGGGTTTGGGAGGAGGATCGGCGGGAAGGAAAAGGCCACTAAAAAAAGGTTAAAAAAATGACAGCCTTTTGCTTGGGCTTTCCACTGGGGTGGAATGGGAGGGTGCACGGAGCCTCCCCCCCTGTGTTCTTACACGTCTGGGTGAGGAGGCTATGGAACATGGGGAGGGGGGTTATACAGGGGCTGTAGCGCCAGTCTGTGATTCTGCTGCCGTTCCTGAAGCTCCACCAGATGCCGGAGCATGTCTGTTTGCTCACGCAGCAGCCCCAGCGTTGCATCCTGCCTCCTCTGATCTTCCTGCCGCCACCTCTCATCTTGAGCGTCTCTCCTCTCCTCACGTTGGTCCCTCCTGTCCTCACGTTCACTGGCATCTTTCCTATACTTTGAAACCGTGTCCTTCCACTCATTCAGATGAGCTCTTTCACTGCGGGTGGATTCCATGATTTCCGCGAACATCCCGTCTCGCGTCCTCTTTTTCCGACGCCTTATCTGAGATAGGCTTCGGGACGGAGGAGGGAGGCTTGAAAAATTTGCAGCTGCTGGAGGGAGGGGAAAAAGGAGAGAATTTTTTAAAAAGATACATTTTACAGAACAATGCTTATACTCTTTCATGGTTAAAAAAAACACTATTCACATTACATAGCACATGTGATTTCTGTGCACAGTCTCATTTTGCCTCTTAATATTGAGTGCCTGTGGCTTTGCTGCTAGAGATCACAGACGCAGGTCCGGGCAACAGAATTCGGCTTGCATGCGGCCATGGTAAGCCATTGTCTTTCGGCTTCTGCGCCCTCCTTTCCCACATACCAAGCAAAGCTCGTTGAGTGCTGCGGTTTTCCTGTTAACCTTCAGCAGCAGAAAACAAACTCCCCCCCCCCCCATCCAATTCTCTGGATGATCGCTTTATCCCTCCCCCCACCGCATGGCTGGTATCAGGGAAGATCCCTGCTAGCCAAACGCGAAAAGCTCAGGGCCAATCCCCCTCCCCCCCTCCCACGCTTGGCTAACTGCAGGGAAGGATTTCTTTACAGCCACAGGCAAACAGCCCAGTAGGAATGGCCACCTCTGTCCCCTTAATTAAATTCCCGTATTTCAACCAGGTTACCATGAGCGATATCACTCTCCTGAGGATTACACAGCGAGATAAAGAACGGATGTTGCTTAAATGCCAGCAAACTCCGGGACCATACGCTGCCAGGCTTTGTCATGCAATGATACCAGATTACTTGCTATTAGCATGGCGTGGTCAAGTGTCCTACCATGGAGGACGGAATAAGGCTGCACTGCCCAGAAACCTTGTGGAAAGGCTTTTGTAGTACCTCCAGGAGAGCTTCATGGAGATGTCCCTGGAGGATTTCCGCTCCATCCCCAGACACGTTAACAGACTTTTCCAGTAGCTGTACTGGCTGCGAATGCATCCCAAGTCCTCAGGGCAAAGTAATCATTAAAAAACACTTGCTTTTAAAACAAGTTTTATATTTTAAAAGGTAAACTCACCTGAGGTCCCTTCCATGGGGTCATGGTCTTGGATACTGGCTTGGGAGGGTACTTCAGTCAAGCTGAGAAAAAGATCCTGGCTGTTGGGGAGAACAGAGTGCTGTGTGCTCTCCACAAGCGCGTCGTCCTCCTCCTCTTCCCCGTCCGCAGAATCCTCAGGTGTGGCTGAGATTATCCCCACCTCGGAATCCACGGTCAGAGGTGGGGTAGTGGTGGCGGCCCCCCCTAGAATTGCATGCAGCTCGGCGTAGAAGCGGCATGTTCGCGGCTCTCACCCGGAGCGACCGTTTGCCTCCTTTGTTTTTTGATAGCTTGTCTGAGCTCCTTGACTTTCACGCGGCACTGCTCTGAGTCCCTATTGTGGCCTCTCTCCATCATGCCCTTGGAGATTTTTTCAAAAGTTTTGGCATTTCGACTTTTCGAACGAAGTTCTGCTAGCACGGAATCCTCTCCCCATATAGCGATCAGATCCAGTACCTCCCGTATGGTTCATGCTGGTGCTCTTTTTCGATTATCAGCCTGCATGGTTACCTGTGCTGATGAGCTCTCTGTGGTCACCTGTGCTCTCCACTCTGGGCAAACAGGAAATAAAATTCAAATGTTCGCGGGGCTTTTCCTGTCTACCAGGCCAGTGCATCCGAGTTCAGATTGCTGTCCAGAGCGGTCACGATGGTGCACTGTGGGATAGCTCCCAGAGGTCAATACCATCGAATTGCGGCCACACTGACCCTAATTCGAAATGGCAATATCGATTTCGGCGCTACTCCGCTCGTCGGGGAGGAGTACAGAAATCGATTTTAAGAGCCCTTTATTTCTAAATAAATGGCTTCGTTGTGTGGACGGGTGCAGGGTTAATTCGATTTAACGCTGCTAAATTCGAATTAAACTCATAGTGTAGACCAGGCCTTTGTTTAGAGGATCCATCATCCTCTGCTTCTCTTGGAGGTTCCTGTGTGGGCCAGCAAGACACAAGTCAGACATCCGACTCCTAAGCTGACATGGGGAAGGAAGTTCTGAGAGCAGTGTAAACAACTCCTTATTCTGACCCCCTGATACTTGATAGCATGCCTCACTCTTTTTAAAGCCTCTAGCTGTATCTATAGCTGTTTGGCCCTGCACCTTTCATATTGTAGTTGGCTTTACAATTTCACTCCATGGAAACGGGTTGGTGAGGTATGTATTGTCTCTACTAGAGAAAAATAAAAAATGGACGAAAGGAAATTGCCATATTTGCTTAAAAATGGCATAGGTTACATCTTCACAACTGCAACATATTCATTGTGTTATCTTAGCATTAGTCAGAATTATTTCCAAAGCTGGACATGATTCTTTCCCCAATTACTATAGAAAAGTACTGTTTCTAAAGTGGGCCAGAGGTTGCAAGGTAAGACAGCTGTTGCTAAATTATCTCCCAATGGTATCTGAGGGATCAATTTCCCCTTATGCTTAGCAGAGGAAAGAACACAGCGTCTCTTGGCAAATGGTGAGTTTCTTAAAGCAACCAGTGACCGGATTTCATGTTATTTTTATAAATTAATCTTAAAAGTAATGGCAAATGTATGTGCTGCTTTAGGACAAATCATTAAGCGGAGGCACAATATTCTGATCTGATAAAGGAGACCTAGGTCCCTCATAATGACACTTAGTGGGAGGAGTTTAACTATGATGGTTGTCTTAAAGCATCAACACGTTGCCAAGCTATCGCATATGTCCCACTTCTATTTCCTGTTCTAAATATAGGGGGAATTGTGGCATTTCAAATAACCTTGTGTGGTAATTGCAGGCAAATGTTGACTTCATAATGGTGGCTGCTATATATCCTGATTCAATCCATAGGAGTTTTCAGATAAATTCACTAATCCCGCCTATCACCAATATTACACTTGATAAAGTATGTATCCCATTGTGACAATCGGGGTCCAGACAGTCCAAGGGAAGAAAGGGGGGTCTGAACCCCAAAGAATAAGCAACTGAATCAATGGGTTGTATACAATGTTATTTGTGTATAAAGATATGTCAGGTAAAGTCTTTTAAGAAAGCTTGTAATGTTCTGAACTTGATGGTCATTAGGAGAGCTGTATACAGGTTATGGTTATGAATATATGCATGTATATGTGTGTACAACATTGTAATTGCAACACGGGTGCACCAACACCATCGTCTCACAACAGTGTCGGGAAGCAGTCAGGCAGGGAGGGGCACCTCCCAGGGTAGTTGTTTACACAAAACTAACTCCAAGTACCAAGCGTCCTACATTCCAGGGAAGAACAATCATGGACTGCTACATGGAAAGTCATTGAAACTGAAAATAAAATCCCTGTCTTGAACTCATAAGGAATTTCCCCTGCACTGTGTAACCATGAATTAATATAGTCTGGAAGAAAGGGAAAAAAACCCTTGCAAACCTTGTTAAAAGGGAAGGGGTTTGAAGTGAAGGCTATCACTGGTGTGCAAACCATCTGGAGTGTGTCCTCCAAAGTGAACTGATGACTGGGAGCTGGTTTCACCTCCTCAGGGGTGATGAATCAGATGGGAACTGTCCAAGTGTCTGGTAGTTAAGAACTTGGGGAGACTCGGGAGCTAAAGGGGAGGTTGAGGTGACCCTGCAAGGAGTAACTAGGCTGGTGCAAGCCAGGGTGAAACCTTTATGCTTGAAGGCTGGCTACTGGTGTCAGAGCTCTGAGCCATAGCAGCACAGCATTAAGGCAGTTAAAGCTACAAGGCGGGCGGTGACAGAACCCCTCATTGGTCTGGGTGATCTCCAAAATGTCACACCTGTCAATCCAAAAACACTCAATTTTCTTTTCTTTATAATGTGTTCTATGCAGCTTTTGTGTTGTTTATCTAACCTGTGTTCAGTTGCCTTCCTGCACCTCACAAATGCTTAAATGACACTTTATATAACCAGTTTTACTGCAGTTGTTCATCTGTTACATTCTTTTATTTCCAGCGCTGATAGAAAACTCTCTGATAGTGTTATGTATGTGGAAAAAGTTAGTTCTCAGAGCTTGGCATCCACATCAACACCCTAGTTGGCCTTAATTTGTTCCTTTGCTGACATTCTTGGCAGAGAGAAGGTTTGGATGGACCATTGAGACTGAACTCCCCTTTCAGTCATAGAAGGTGGATTCCTGCATAGTAGGAATGAACGTACATTCCCCGATAACATTGTGCAGGAAGCTGGCACTGCCGTTGCCTATGCTGTATATGATCTGTGGATAAATAGAAGACTAATCCTCAGGGGCTGTCAGTCCAGCATCTTTCGCTAATACTAATGTGTGTCACACATTTTAATAAAAAATAATCTTGTTAAAGCAACAGAGAATTTAAAAAGTGTTATCATAATCTTAATTAAAGAATTAGACTTTAGTGGAGAAATAGGAATGAATGTACAGTAACTACAGTGTTGGGGATTTTAGTTGACCTATAAATTCATGTTGTGTTTTTTATTCTCCCTAGCAAATGAAAGCTACAGACAGGTAGCAATGTGTGTTCTGTATCACATAAGCATGGACGACCGCTTTAAATCGATGTTTGCGTACACAGACTGTATACCACAGGTATGTGTTTTCCTTCTAGACGCATTCCACCACAAACATTCTATTTGTCGCCTTCCCGGTAGCAGAGGTCACAGTGACACCTTCAGGTGATAATGTGAACAACCATGTTTCTTTCCAGTCAAATAACTGTGAGCCTCTATTAATAATGCAGCTTAACCATTTAGACTACCTTTAAGCAGCCTTTCTAAGAAGGAATAGGTGACAGACTTTGTCAGTGCTGCTGGCAAATAAGGCACATCAGCTTATTGCCAAGGGTATAAGCAACCAGAAAACACCACTAGAAGATTAGCCATGTTAAAGGGAGATGACAATTGGTTCCCTATATAATTACTGTATATGTCCTGGAGAGCTTTGCTTTTTGCAGTTTCAAAAGATACTTCTTTCCAATCCCATTTTAAATATCAGAACGTCATTGTCTGCAATGTTACAGAGTATGAGCTGGAAACCAGCCAAGCAAATGTTACATCACTGCATGGACTATCTGTGCTCTGACTACAGTCCCACTACATAAAGGACACATGAAAACTGTGTAGTTGAGAAAGAAATACCTTTTACCTACCTTCTAGATTAAGGATTGTTTGGTGCCTCTCACTGTCTGTAGGGACTAAATAAACAAAATTTCATAAAAAAAAAAAAAAGCCTGGATCTTTTAAACAACTATATGAGTCAGTTTCTCAGGGTACTGATTTAAGGTTAGAGTTGAGGATAGAGTCTCCATCTCATAAGTGTAAAAAGGTCTCTGGTTGCTTTTTTTAGAATTGCACCACTCTGTTCTCTTTCCTGCCAAACATCTTTTTAACATCAAGCATATCCATGATGGGAAGTTGCCATGGAAAGTTTTCAGAACATTTCTTGTCATGGTAAAAGTTGTAATGTTCTTCCAAGTCAGGGGGGAGGAAGGAGGATCTGATGGGAATAGCAAGTGTATGTTGCAAAATACTCTTGTAAACATCCTGTAGATTGTGTTTGCCACAGGATGAAGTTGTATGCTAAGAAGCCCAAATGATACAGAGAACCCACTACTTTTGAATTGTCACCCACCAAAACCAGAGGCTTTGTCTTGCACTTTAGGGCTCAGTTATTATGTGATTTTTGGGAAATATGGGCATGGTTTAAAAGCCCCTAGTGCCAAATATAAAAACCATGGAAATTTCAATAATATTTAACTAACATGCTTGTTCTGATAGGCATTGGCTGCTCAAAGTTGTGCCTGTAACCCTTGTTCAAAGCCCGTTGTAGTAAATAGACTCCCATTAATTTCATTGTTCTTTATATCCGGCTCATAAAGCCTAGCAAAACTTTAAGGCCATCTGTGATCATGATGAACAGTTACCGTGCTCATTAAATCCTATACTAGACTATGGCTGAAGACCCTGTTCATCCAAAGCCACGCTGTGATTTGCCAGTTGGTCCTTTGTGATGAACATCTGTACACCTGCAGCTGGTGTGTAGAGCTAATTGTAAGGGAGAGAGGTTGGAACAGGAGGGGAGAAATGAACATTTTAAAGTGACCCCTTCCCCTCTTTGCCCCTCAAAATGCCCCTCACCCCTTCCTAGGGTGAATAGATAGAAAGTGTGAAAAATTGGGATGGGGTTGAGGGGTAATAGGCGCCTGTATATGAAAAAGCCCCACATATCGGGATTGTCCCTATAAAATCAGGACATCTGGTCACTCTACCACTCCCCCAGATTGTATTTAACTCTGTTTTAATGTAAAATGAAGGAGCCAACCATACTCCATTAGCAGTAGGCCACATCTGGGTGTGTACTGGTGGGCTATGGTGCACATCTCAGGTGGCAGAATACACTTCTCTTTCCCACGTAGTCCCCCGTTCACTGAAAAATCCGCTCCCTTTCACCCCAGTAAAGCTCTAGATCACAGCACAAGCTAGCTGATGAGTTAGTTGAATTCTCCTTCATGGAAGGTTCTCCTCTACTGATCCATTGGGACGGGATAGGAGAGGCTAGTGAATGTGACCAAAATAGGGCACAACAGCCCTATCCTGCTCCATTGCATGGTGAGTGTCACCTCTGCAGAGCTGCCAGTGCATCCTATCTGCACAAAGGGTTGGGACTTGGTTCTGTCACATTTGCAGTCTGCAGGTCCATTGGGTCTGTTTGCCTATGTCTTTCCTTTGAACATTTTAAATTATCTGAAAGGGGCTGCATTCTCCCAGGTAAGCATCCTTGTGGATTTCAGGAGTTAATGGGCATTATTCTAGTTCCACTTAAAAGTGAGTATTAACAGTTCATTCTTGTTTAGACCTTAGCAATGAGTGTTTTGTTTAAATAGGTGCAAATGCCATCCAGATGCTTATAAAAGCATATATTGGTAATAGCCTGGCCAATCAAAGAGCATGATTAGGCAGTGATGTTATGGTGATATTTAATATTTTACCACTGAGCGGTGTACAAGGATCTCCTCAGCTCCCCACATGTTTTCCACCACGGTTGTCCTGCTTCGCTCCTCTTTGATCTATAAGCTTCTTTTTAGTTTAATGCTGGTAAACGTCCTCTCTTGACAGCGCCCTTTGCTCCTGTCCGCCATTATCTGCTGAAGTTCAGAAACCAGAGCATCACTTCAAACAGCAGAGTTAGGGAGTAACCGGTCAGAAGAGATTCCTGAGGCATGCAGTTCTGGCATAATCATTCAAAGATGTTTGAATTGGGGTTGAGGAGGGGGTTGGACAGAGGTGTATGTGAACAGAGAGCTGTGGGGGTTGGCCTCTGGTCACTGGTAAATAAGTGAAGTCAGGTGCCAGAGAGTCTAGACACAGTGATTTCAGTCCTGGGTCTGTGGTATCTGATACTCAATATGGGACTTGTCTGATTGAACACTACTGCCTCTTCAATGCACATGCTGCAGCCTTTTTACTGCCTTCCTGTTAAATCAGTAAAAGATGACAATGGACATGGTAAAAGCAGAACAAATTTAATTTTAATATTTCCTATTTGGCAGCAATTACGCTCCCTTTTGAAGTGGCACGAGGAGCAATCAAATTAAATGAAGACATAATGGGAAACATGGAGTTCATACAAAACTATTATTTTAAAATTTGAACTGGTTTAATTGAAATTGGAGTATATTTATTTCTTTTTACAGAGAAGTAGCTCAGTAATGACAATTTGACCCCACTACGTTCAACATTTAATTTCCATAGATTTTTGCATTCAGTGAGCACAGAATACGTTTCAGTTTTAAAATATATATAAATAATTTGAAGGGATTTTAAAATGAAAGTTCTGGAGGGTAATTTCTGAAAGGTCACATCCCCTACTTGCTGAACTTTCTATAGGACTTTGCTGGTTAATTCATGTTTGTAATATGTGAGTATCAGGGCTGATTAACCTTTGCTTAAGAAAAGGAGGAAATCAACAATGGCTTTTACATCACCTTATGAAAGCACTAAAAGACATTTATTTATTTATTTATTTATTTTTATTATTATATATATATATATATTTTTTTTTTCTGTTATAATTGAAATCCATATATTTGAAAATGTAGAAAGACGTCCACTAATATTTAATAAATTTCAATTGGTATTCTGTTGTTTAACAGTGTGATTAACAAAAAATTAATTGCAATTAATCGCGTGAGTTAACTGTAATTAATCGACAGCTCTTATATATGAATGAGAGCGCACATTAATCACTATTGTGACCTAAATGTGTTTTTATTAATTTGGCAGCCTCTTTGGAATGACAACTTGATTGTGTATAGCTAAATTGCCAGATAACTTCCTCCAACAGATTATCTGTGGAGGATTTACCTGCAGTACTGATGCCTCCTAATTGTCCTTTCTCTGAATATATTTTTTGGTAGATACCCACTCGATCTTGTACTTAATCATTCCAAGGTGCTACCACTAGGGGGCAAGAGTGCAACTACTTTGACAGTTACAGTTCAGTTCTTTCTCCCTGCCCCTACCCCTGCTGCAAACTGAGATCTACTCATTATATCTACTGCCCCTGTATCTGTCCTCTTTTCAAGTGCATTTGTTTTATCCAGTCTTGTACCCATGCTACCTTGCATTGTGATTCTGATAGGTCTTGCAAGCTAAGTAGTCTGGCTTTGTCAGTGCTTACATGGGAGACTGATGCACTACAGAATTGGGGTTGGTGCTGCAGTAGGGGTGGTCTACCTTTTGAGTCAGTAACTGAACCAAATCTACAGCATGGTGTGAAAAGTGAAGACTGAGAAATAGACTGATGTTTGGATGCTATTTATATATTGGATTTGCTGTTTGTAAAAAATTAAGGCAGACTTAAAATGGACAAAATTAGGGTTGATATGTAAGCTGTGACAGACCAGTGAATATATAGGAACAAATTATATGGAATGGCAGCTAGCTGTTGGTTCTTTGTAGCATCATCAGCGGAGTCACTAACATGCACCACAGCAATTAGAGCAGACTGTGGGAAATGTGTATTTTACTCCAGGTGTCCTTTTTCCTCTACTGAAGGAGTGGGGCTGTAGTAAAGGAGACACTGGCTCAGTACTGCAGTATATGGCAGTAGCAATGAGTGCAGTGGATAGTAGGTTTGCTTAGACAGGGAAGGACACATTGTAGCAGATAGATCAGAGTAAGTTTAGATATAGGCAGCGGAGTAGACTTAGCCAGTTCAAAATAGCAAGAGTAGGATTATTATACAATAAAACAACCATTTGTAGTGCTTTATTCCATTAAGCAAACAGAAGTATTCTGTTTTCATGGGATGAATAATTTAGTACACAAGATTTTAAACTGTTCACAGGAATTTAACCATTCACAAACAATACATTATCTCCCTATCACTGGAATTTATTTAACAAACTCAGTTTATTTTAGAAAAGGTGGCAAGTAATTGCAATTCTTAACTGTTAGTAACTCTGGCTGTCCACAAATAATCAAACCCTAGTCCTTCCAAATTAATCACCATTACAAGTTGGCAGCAAATGTAGAGATCCTGAATATGAAAAGTATTCAGATTAGCATAGTTGGCTTGAGAATATTGCTCTGTTTTTTTTTCTCATGCTTTGGAAAGTTTAATGACTCGTGTGTGTTGGTAGTTAATGAAGATGCTCTTTGAGTGCCCTGATGAACGCATTGACCTGGAGCTCATTTCCTTCTGCATTAACCTTGCTGCTAACAAGAGAAATGTGCAGCTTATCTGTGAAGGTAAGTGTGCAGAAGCTTCATAGCATATCTTTGGGTCAGTGCCTAGCACCCTGTTGGCAAATGTAATAGTAATACAACTAATGACAGCAGAAAAACATTCAGACCACATATGTAATAAACATTTGTGTATGTGCATAGTTGGGTCAACTCCTAATGTCACTCATCCCCCTATTGAGCCATAGTATCTCCAATTCTGTGGTGAACAGTTCCATGAAATCACTGATGACTAGCGTATTGAAAACTTTATGCTTATCCTGACCCTTACTATGTGGGATGAATGTAACTCTTTATGGAATTCACCCCAAAATCTTCCTACAGGCAACTGGGGTTCTGTTTCCAGACATGAATAAGTAACACAGGGCCTCTTTTATTATTTTTTTTTAATGGAAAGATACAATTTGATCTATTTTAAGATTATGTCCCTCAAAGCTGGTGTTTACAAGCTGCGTAGTATGAACAGGCTTACTTTTCATGCGATTGCTCCAAAGCTGCTCTCTTTTTTCCTGAATGCCCTGTGCTAATTCACAACTTTAAAGTGCAGTTCTTCTCTGAAATGACACCGTAAAACTGGCACATTCTCAATCAACCATTTGCTCCCTGTATGTATTCAGAATCCTAGCTACTAACTTCAGTGGCAACTGCTTCATAGATTTTAAGGTCAGAAGGAACAATTATTTATTCTGGTCCCCTGCATAGCATGGGCCATAGAATTTACCCAGTGATTTCTGCATCAAGCTCTGTCAAGTGTAGTTGAACAAATAATTTTTAATTGCTTTTTAGTCCTATTATCACTTCAAAGCCAACACCTCTAAAACAGAGTGAGCTGGATTCTATTCCTTTTTGTGCATCAACAACTCTATTTTTACTAAATTCCAATCAGTTATACATGTGCAAACGACACAGAAGACAGTGGACTTGCACAAGTATCACTGAGGGAATAATTTAGTTTGCAGGATGTTTTTTAGTGATGAGTATACATGAGAAGGAAAGAACCCAGTTTGACACTCAGAACCCAGACCAAATTGGCAGGGCTCACAGTTAGAGAACAACCTTTTTTTATTTGCAAACTAAGCCTGTTTGGTCTGGAATCAGTAAAAGATAACCAAGCAGTACAATAATGCCATTTTTACATAATTTCCTTTCAGAGTTATAGCTATGGAAAACTTACTTTTTCACTAACTTAGACACAACTTTGTGTATGCATCACATTTTCTCTTTCTGACAGGAGATGTTTTTTATGAAAACAGGATTTCTGCTGCTGCATAATCATCTTTCGTTGCTGATTTGCTCAGCATATCAGACCTAACCCTTTGCTATATTCTCAGTAGGGCTATTTATATATTGACTAGCCTGAGGGCTGCTTCCTTTGGTGCTTTGTCACAGAAAAATAGTCCATACAAAAACTTGTATAAAAATAAAAAAGTAATTGTTAATATCAGACAGGCAAGGTTGTCCCAAAGAATCACATCAGTAAGACAGTGATTTGGCCCACAATATCAAATGATTGAGTCTGGTGAAAGTTCTGTTATTCCTGTAGTGTCCAAAGTGTGGTTAAGGGCTTGTTTGCTCCCTAGACGTGTACTAAGAGTGCTTTGGTTTATAGCCTTTGCCAGCTCCACCGGGCAAAGTGGCTGTCATATATGAGTACCTCTATTTAAAATACCTTTGCAAGAAACCTATCCAGACTCATATGTCCTCAAACTACCAATATTAAGACGGACAGGTGGTGTTTGAGAATTTGACATGAAAATTAAGAGCAGGAGTTTGTGATGGCTACATAGAATTCGGGTAGTCATAGTAGTGGTGGGAGCAGAGGCTTAGCAGGTGGGTTGCTTCTATTAGAGTTATAATTGATAACTGAACTATTTAGTTCGGTTTTCTGTTATGGTGATGAGTCCTAATATTCAATAATTGAGATATTGGCTATTATATATTTTTTATATTACGTCTTGGAGTTTATTAGGGTGAAATTTGTCCCTCTAATTATGGCCAGAAAGAACAAAATAGTTTCTGCTTTGTCTGGATTATTTCCCTTTGTCCTTTAAGCCTTGTTAATAAGAAAAAAATTCTGATTTTTTTTTTTGCAAAAGACTTGATTCTAGCTTTTAATATGATCTGGGAGATTTGCCACGTACCATTTTCTTTTCAGGAAACGGATTGAAGCTGTTAATGAAGAGAGCTCTGAAGTTCAAAGATCCATTGTTGATGAAGATGATCAGGAACATTTCACAACATGATGAGCCAACTAAAAACCTGTTTATTGTAAGCACTCGCTATACGTTCTCAGTACCCTCTATCCCTTTGCATTGGAAGGGATTTTGGCTTTAGACTGCTGCTGCTGCTTGAAAGATGGGTTGGCTTTTATCTTTACAAACAAACAATTTTATACCCTTGAGTTTCATGTATTACTTAGCATTTCCGTGTTTTTATAAAGCTGGTTCAGTTGGTATTTTAAAGGGGTTCTGGATGCCTCAAGGAATTGGTGGTTGGTTACAGTGTAGAATCTTTTTATGTCTAGGTCAGTGGTTCAAAAACAGATAGCACTAATCTTAAACCTTGTTCTCAACAGAGAAATCTAGGACAGAATGAAGTATCCTTTCCCTGTTACAGCTGGTTCCTTCAAATCAAGGTTCAAGAGCAATGTGAAGAATCTCTTGCTACTTAATAACTCTTGAGCGACTTAATTCTCTAGGGCTGCGCTGCTTGTCCAGCAATCTCATGAGCATTAATTACACATACTCACTGAAATGAAATATGGAAAAGAATTTGTAGTTTAGAATAAAAAAACATTTGGGTTAAATAATGAGTTAAAATTCTAATTGGCAAATCTCTTAATAAAGTTGGTACTGCATGAAATCAAATCTTTTAACTGTCATGCACTACTAGTTAGTAAAATCCATAGCTGTAAACCACATAAGGTAACTTCACATACATTTCAGGGGTTTTTTGGGAGCAGAAACCACTTCTGTGGTTAAGATTCCATAATATTTTCTATTCTAACCCCCTTTTTTCAGTTTGTGGTAGCTTTCTAAAACTTTTACCTTTTGGGGGCTGAAATTTTCCATACGTGGGTGTTTTTTCTCTACCTACAGTAAATGTTCTCGAAAAGCTTGAACAAAAAGATTCAGAGAATTAGAAGTGGGGAAATTGTTATTTTTTTAAAACTAGTCTGCAACTAAGGTGTTGAATTAAATTTGGCTTGAAAATAGTCCTCATTCAGGAGATGTGCCTTTTGAATGTTCTGGTGAAAATAAGTTTTGCTTTGACTGAGTTAGGAACCTTTCAAAATCCCATGTTGTTCATGTGCAGTACTTTTACTAATTACCCACCTATATTTTTTTTTTAGGATTATGTTGGTGACTTAGCAGCTCAAATCTCTAATGATGAAGAGGAAGAATTTGTGATAGAATGCCTGGGAACACTGGCTAATCTGACCTTACCTGACCTGGACTGGGAGCTTGTGCTGAAAGAGTACAAACTGGTTCCATACCTCAAGGATAAACTAAAACCAGGTCTGTGCTAACAGTGGTTTAGTCTTCCATGATGTTCTGTTTTCCAATTGTAGTATCTTTTGCTATCATATTCTAATCCTATTGCAGTATTGGGTTTTGCTGCTTTAGTATCTTTTGGGTGTATTAATTAGCATAATGTTAGCTTGTTGGAAAATTAGAACTGTCTATAAGGGCTGGTCTACACTGGGGCGGGGGGGTGATGTAAGATACACAACTTCAGCTACGGGAGTAGTATAGCTGAAGTCAACGTATCTTATTTCGACTTACCTCCTGTCCTCACGGCGCAGGATCTATGGCCGCGGCTCCCTTGTTGACTCCGCTACCACCACTCGCCCTGGTGGAGTTCCGGAGTCGACGGGAGCAGGTTCGGGGATCGATATATCGCGTCTAGACGAGACGCGATATATCGATCCCCGATAGATCGATTGCTACCCGCCGATCCGGCGGGTAGTCTGGACATACCTTAAGTAAGAATAAGAACATTCAAGGATTCAGCAAAGTGTTTTCTTAAATACCCAGCTCTCTGCTGTTTTGTTTGCCAGGTTCTGCAGAAGATGACCTTGTCTTGGAAGTGGTGATCATGATTGGAACTGTATCTATGGATGACTCCTGTGCTGCTATGCTGGCCAAATCTGGAATTATTCCAGCACTCATTGAACTTCTAAATGGTATATTACTTAATTTGTTCCAGGCCTGATTTTCATCTGTAGTTTCTAATTGACCCAGGTGGCACCATTCATTTTTTTTTAGCCTGCAGGATAGCAGTAGGTAGTCTCCAATGAAAAGCACAGTGATGTCATTCCATTAATAGCAAAATGGCAATGAGCATGGTCTAGTGAACTTACTTTTTCTGTGCTTCTCGCATCCTAATCTAATTCTCACTGAAGTCAATTGGAATCTTTCTATTGACTCTGATGGAAGTTGGATCAGGTCCTAAAAGTTCTGTGCACACTGGCAGGGATTGTCTGGTATATATAAGCCACCAGAAAAATGCATCCCAGAGTCCTTGGCTCTCCTGAGAGCCCAACACAACTCTTGAAACATTAATGTACAATAGCAAAGTGCTCTGTCTCGGAGACTTGAGGAAATACTTTTTTCTTTTTGCAGCTCAGCAGGAAGATGATGAGTTTGTCTGCCAAATCATCTATGTCTTTTACCAGATGGTCTTCCACCAAGCCACCAGAGACGTCATCATCAAGGAGACCCGTATCCTCTTATAAAGGCCAGACGTTTAGAATTACAGTACTTAACTTACTATAATTAGAATTTGTTACATGTGTCAAAGCTTTACTATGGTTTTCTAAACCACCATTTCTCTGTAATTAGAATTAATTGAATTTGAAACAGTGGCTGAACACTATAGACATAAGACAGGTATACAAGTACCATAAGATGGCATAGTGCAGTTTAAAGGTTTTATTGGCATGTCTTACATAGGCCATTCCAAATGAGTGTTGATAAACTTGATTGTGCCACACCACACTGTATTATGTATTTGCCACATACTGTACAGGAAAATTATTGAATAAATGTTTGAAATATTTTAATGGGAATAGTTCTTGTAACTTTCCATCTGTAAAGGCAGGTGCCTTAGTTACCATGATTTTACCTCTAGAGGGTTCAGATGGAGAAGAAAAATGTGTTTGTTCTTTCATATGTCTGCTGCTTCCAATCTCTTCTTCCCCTTTTCCCCGATCCCCATTTTTCCCCCTTAGAAGCATGTGTCCTCCAACTCTTACCTTCTTATCCTCAGTGCCGCTGTCATGTATTGCTCTCCTGGTTCCTTCCCATCATCTCTCCTCTTTGACTTCAATTCCTGGCTCTCCTCCTTTTCTGTGCTAATGGCCCCATTGCCTCTGCTACCTTTTGCCTTTTCACTTACCTTCTTCAATTTGCATGACCTTAATTAGACTCCTGTTCTCCAGTCATCATCATCTCTCACTCTTTGTTTTCTCTTGTTTTGTTTTAAACTGGGGCCTGATTCAAAACCTGAGAGTCAGGTCTTCGTGTCACAGATCTTTTCTGTATTATATTTATAAAGCACCTAGCACACACTAAGTGCTATATAAAATTGCTGGTAGTACCTACAGTATCTCTTCCAGGTACAATAATATTACAGCTTTAAAATCTGATATTTCTTGCCCTTCCAGAGCTAAGTGGAAAATCCCCTTTCTGTCATATCAAAATTTTTGTTTTTTGTTCTAGAAAGTTGCAGGATACCAATTCTTAAACTTGGACAATATTCCCTCAGGCCAGTATCATCCTCTACTTCATTGTTGCAAAAGCTGCTTTCCCCTAAGCACACATTTCTCTTACTTAACTCACCCAGGTTACATTCTCTTAGCTTAGTCCGCCTGGAGAGTTTGAGGTGTCCTGGGATTTACTGAAGTGATTGCATGCTTGGTAACGTTGGACCAAGTCTGCCAAATATTTATCTTTACTTTTCCCCCAGGAAGCTGTCGGCTCATGCTGAGAGAAAACAGAATCATTTTTTGAATTTGAGACTTTATTTTGTGTGTGTGTGTGTGTAAATCAACAGTTATTGTTTTTTCATATGATGAACCATTCAATTGGAAATCTTGTAGAAACGTAGCACCCTGTATTTTGGGATAGCTGTCAACATTTTTATAGCAAGTAAAAATGATGATGGAAGTTGAAAGAAGAACATTTTCAGAGCTATCCTTGGCATTGAGCTGTGTACAAATCTATCTCGTACATCCAAGTCTGATAAAGGACATTCCCTCTCTCACAAAATGATTTCACTGCTTGTGTTATAACTTGACACCTGCTGCCTGTGTGTATGTATTTATGACATCCAGCATAACCATTTCCTTGCGCACATTGTTTACTAAGGTTTAGACCACAAATTAACAGTCTTCTCTGGAATTTATTTACATTCAAAAGTAGTTAAATCTTTTAGTTGATTTACTATCAATCTGATCAAAATCTCCCACAATTATACAACTCAACATTATTTTCTATTCGAAATCATTTGTGTTGTACAACATCGAAATAGAGATTGATATATAGGAAATATAGTTGGGTTCTTTTGGATCCAAACCTTGACTCTCTCTTGAAGAGTCAAAGCTAAAGCAACATACACAGGCAGGCAGAATTAACTTTTTAATTGTCTTCTCTGCTGAAAATTCTAAATAAAGCTGCTGCTGGTTTGTTCCAGAACAAACATGATGGGTAGTGATCTGCAGTTTTTCTCCTCACTTCTGCCCAGCTTCATGAACAATTCATTGTCATTACAACAGCCAGTCTTTATCACTTCTTCTCCCTTCTCTTTTCTACCTCCTTCACCTACACCCCCACCATGGCATTTAGGATGCTGCTTAGTTTATAATTCAGTACTTCACCCTTCATTTCCTTGATCTTAAATTCATATACATCCTGTAATCTAATTGATTAAAATACCTCCACTCTTAACCTTTTGTTTTTAAGAAAAACTCAGATGTTTTTATATCTACACAGCCACAAAAAATGCAATTTGAACAACACCTCATTCATCCACATAAGATCAGACTTTTAAAAATACTGTAGTCTGTACCACAAACATGCATCAATTGAACATTCTTACCTAGGATAAATAATTTGCAAATCAGTCTTTAAATTTTACAGCTTTTTAAGGTTTGAAAATATACTAAGCTATGCCACAGCAATTAGAGAAATTGAACAAAATGTAAACTGTAAAAAGATGTCCGAATGGCAGCATTTCCCATGACAAAATTGAGAATATATTCTTAATAAAACAAATATATATTCATTTTCATTAGAAGTTGTATGTGAATTTATATCTCTTTATTTAGCGCATGAACCATTAAAAAAAGGCTGAGCTCTCACATGCTGTGGATAATTCCCCAGTGTGATACTCAGTTCCTCATGCCAGTTGGAAGAGTCCAAACCTGTGGTAAAACCAGCATTACATCCTTAACCATTTCTTCCCAGAGGCTCCAGCATATCTTATAGACCTGATGCATGACAAAAATGCTGAGATCCGCAAAGTCTGTGATAACACACTGGATATTATAGCGGTAGGTTGAGTTCCTTTGTCCATTTTAAGAGCCTGTTTGAATGTGACGTGCTTGTATTCTGAAAGAGTACTAGTAAACACTGGCCTGTTGTGTGAAAATATTTGTTATACAAACACACCTTTTTATTACATAAGAGGGAGTTGCATTTGCATGGCAAAATTAATCTTACTTGTTATACTAGTCTGTATCTAAATTTCCCCTTTCAAAACCACATAAATTCTTAAAAAAACAATGCTGGTTAATAGGATTTTTAAAATGTTTATATCACTCCTTATTTATGTGAGGCCATACTTAATAAGGATTGTAGGTTTTAGGTATTTTATGGTATTTTATGGTTCACCAACAGCTTTTTCACTCAGAGAAAAGGTCCCTGAACATGTTAGATATAACTATCTACCATCTTACAAAAGTAAGTGCAGGTGACAACGTTAGCCACATTAAACTTGTAAATATTAGAAACCACTGTTGGTTCTGTCTTGTTCAATGATCAGAGTAGGATTTGTGGGTAACTTCTTTCATGTCACTTTAGATTAGTTTGCAGTTTATGATTTCATCTTAAATGTTTAGTGCAAAGGCCTGCAGCTATTCCACCTCATTAGATCTCACAAGCTGAGCAACGTTGAGTGTGGTCAGTGCTGGAATGGAGCACCTCCAAAGAAAACCTAGGTTTCTGCAGGAAAGGGTGTTGGCAACTCAGGTGGGGCTCTTCCATCTGAATTGGTACTGAACCAGTGTGCGTAGCATAATGATGTTGGGCCACCATGCTGCTGGAGGTTCTGTTTTTCTAGTGATCATTAAAGCTTCTGTTTGCCAGAAGCTGGGAATGGGCGACAGGGGATGGATCACTTGGTGATTACCTGCTCTGTTCATTCCCTCTGGGGCACCTGGCATTGGCCACTGTCGGAAGACAGGATACTGGGCTAGATGGACTTTTGGTCTGACCCAGTATGGCCGTTCTTATGTAAAATGTCTGTGCTTGGGACCAAGAATAGGAGTATTCTGACCATATTTCTTTTCAGGCAATTACTTTTCACCTTCCTAAATTCCTCTTGGCAAATTTAGGTGGATTTAGTAGTTGTCATCACATGGGTAATATCTTCACTTCTGTGGTGGGTGAAATAATTACAATATATAGCAAGCTTTTAGATCCATTGCATGAATAATGCTGTTTGAATGTACCATAGTGATCATGAAAAGTGAATTGTCGTAGCTGAACAGAACTTAGCTGTGAATTTTGATAGTAGTATTGAAAATTTGATATGACTGTTCTCCTGTTTTAACAGGACTATCCCCTATTTCCTCCCTCTGCCTTCTTCAGTTGAAAGCTATATACCACAGAAGCTTGCTTGCTCTTAAAACTGTTGTGGAGTTAGTCTATAGATTCTGATGTATGCAATAATATTATATTTTCTGTTTTATTTCTATGTAATAATCATGAGCAATGCTTATTGGCTAAAATGTGCCCTAGAGAAGTGCAAAATATTAGTAATATTATTGTTTTATATGTGTACACATTTTTGTAGGACATTGGTATGTTTTATCAATCTCTATTGTAAGTTCTGCTTGTGTTTCATTCAGGGATATGGTATGAAATCCTGGCTCTGTTGAGTTTTGCCATTGACTTTCAGTAGAGTCAGGATTTCACCTGTGATGAATTCGCACCTGAATCCTGGTGTGTAAGATGCTCATGAGTCAATACACCAAGAAAAAAAATTAGTTTAGTGAGACAGAACCCCAGTGGGAGCATTAGACTTTTCTGGGGGAAGATGTTTTGGTTGCTAAGAAGGTTCTACAGTACTGAAATGTTTCTAGTCTTGCATTTTTGAAGATTACTTACATGGAAAGAGTTGAGGAAAATGTGAGAGACCACTATGTATGAGTTGTTCCAGATAAGATCATTGTTTTTCTGCTGCCCTGCAATGTTTGCCAATCGGTCTGTGTTGTTTGACATATTCTTTCCTTGCATTCCAGACCTCTCTGAATATCCAAGGACATTCTGGCAAAGGGCCTTAGTGATCTCAATTTAGCTGTGAGATACCATTCGTAAAGGAAGACATGTTGGGAACTTTTAATAAGGGGTTGAAGTAAAATGGACCTCAGGAACAATAACTTTTATATAGTTGAGGATATGAAAGCCAATCAAAGTTCAGTAGATATTGGAAAAGTGACAGCACACAAGCCTATACATCAGATTCTTCTACAATACGTCATGCTTAAAAAGAAAGCGATGGGGACAAGAAAGTTTCCATGTCAACCCCAAAAGCAAGAGACTTGAGTTCAGTTGAGTACAATTAGCCTTTTTGCTTAGCTGTTAAGCACTGAAAATAGGCCAGGTATCATCATGCGCCATATCACAGTTACTGGACTAACTGCGTTTGAGTGCTCTGCCTCTCAGGCCTCAAGCAGTAATTGTTCTTGGGACAGAAAAAACGATTTTCCTAATTAGACTGGGACCTGGCTGCTGTCCCCTGTGTATCAACCGTGATTACCTCAGCAGGCCTGACTTAGCCTCACACCCTGCTGTTCTGCTCCCTCCAGAAGCAATGACAGTAGTCGCCACTGGCCAGACAGCCTTCTTAAAGCAAAATAAAATGTTTTTTAGAACAAAAGCAGTTAAGAATAAAACAGACTAGACATGTGTCTAGCATAGCAGGTGTTCAACTATGTTCCGCATGGGGATCCTGGTAGGGCTAAGCTTCCTGTAGAAGCCCCCCAGCCTGAGACCTCTAGGTTCTGGCTGGTACAGTCTGTTGCCTTAACGCACAAGCCATTTTTCTCCCCCACCTGTAAGAAAGGAGTCCTTTGCTGGTTAGTCACCCGTCCCCTACCTCGAGACCAAGTCACTTTTACTGTTATAGTTCTGTGATCTGTTAGTTCCCAGCCTTGGCAGAATAAGGCTTGCAACTTGTTGGAGACAGAATGTAAGATCATTGAAGCTAATAACTTTGTCCATTGTCTTTCAAGTGTGTGCTTGGGTGTCCTTTTCTAGGACCATTGTCGTCATCTTATTTGTTCTTCCCACAGGCTCCAATTAAGCTAGATCAGTGCATTCATGCAGGAAAGTCTTGTATCCCAATACACAATAACTTCTGTTCACTGACCAGGGCACATACAGTGTTAGTTAAATTGTCACATCTCTGTATTAGAGTATTACTTAGCAACTCCACAACCATGGGGTCCAAGATTGGATGTCTCTTATATCAATATTCTGATTCAGCAAAATGCATTCAGAATGCTGTAGAAGCCTTTACAGTAAGGGCTAAATCAGCCCTGCTGCGATTGATGTAGTGGTCATTGATTTAGTGGGTCTGGTGAAGACACAATAAGTCGATGCGAGAGCACTCTCCCGTCGACTTCAGTACTCCATGACCCCGAGAGGCAGAAACTGTCGACGGCAGAGCGTCTCCCATCGACATAGCATGGTGTAGACACTGCTGTAAGTCCATATAAGCTACGTCGACTTAAGTTCTTCTTCGAGTGCTTGCTCATATCAATTCCAACTAGTGTGTGCATGCCGCGTACATGGCCTTTGGAGAATTTTTACCCTAGCAACACCAGGTGGGTCAGCTGTGGAGCCCCCTGGAGTGGCGCCTTCATGGCGCTCGATATAGACCCCAGCTGACCCACCTCAGTTCCTTCTTACCGCCCGTGATGGTCGTTGGAACTGTGGAGTCCTGCTTCACTTGCACTCCACTCTCCCTAGTGTATTCCTAATAGTTGATAGTTTATAGTTATAGTTGGTTTACTTAGTGTTAGTGGGGTTGGGAGGTCTTTCCCCTCCTCCCCGATTCTTCTCTCGGGCTCGTGCCCAAGGCTCCGGGATTCAAGCCCCGTGGTTCCTGCTCTGAGCCTATGCCAACGGGCGACCCCCATGACTCTTGCCTGACGTATCTGGGGGAGTCTCATCAAGCAGAAAAGTGCAGGATCTGCAAAGGGTTTCGTCCCCGGACTAAGAAGGAGCGGGCCTTTCATTTAAAATAGCTCCTCTTAGCCCTCAGCCTCCTGCGGCGCACCAAGATCCAGCACCTAGTGCCTTGGTGCGCAGTGCCCCGGCAGCAGCAGTAGGAGCGGCACCATGGTTGGACTCTGATCGAGACCCATGGCACTGATGCTCCCCGGCACTGCAACTGACATCATCGGCCTGGCACTGCTCCCATTCTCCTGGCCAGAAGTGGCACCAGAAGCTGGAAATGGGTGGCCCGCCTCCACAGAGACCAGCTTCCCTGGAACTGCCTGTGGAGATGCGTCCCAGAAGGGAGCGTCTAGGAGCACAGCCTATGGCCTTGGCACCATTGACTCCAGCCCCAAGGGGAGAACCGTTGAGTCCAGTACCGCTGGACTCCCCAACACGCAGCATGGTTGAGGTCCAGTTGCCGTCTACCCTGGATACTTTTTTGGCTGCAAGGGATCTTATTGGCATGACGGCATTGGCATCGCCTCAGCCACACTCCAAGGCCCTGGTGCCTCTACGCGTGGCACCATTCCGGGGCAAGCAGGCCCTAATCCACCTGTCGGCACAGTCGATCGAGCCATGGCATCGATCCTGCTCCCGCCGCCGCTCTCAGTCCCACCGCTGCTCGCAATCCCGACGCTGCTCTCCTTCGCGGCGCTGGTCGTACTCGTGGCGCCAGTTGTACTCACAGTGCCGCTCTGATTCCCATCGCCGGTCCCGGTCGCGGCACTGCTCTGCTCGCTGGTCGTCGTCGAGGAGCAGATCCCGGACCCGACGCCACTCTCAACACCGGTCATCATCTAAGCCCAGATCTAGATCCAGGCGCCGTTCCAGGTCTCAGTACCGCTCCCCAGCATCGTGGCACCGTTCCCTGTTGCCTCATCGATGTGACCCGATGCAGATATGCTCAGCACCACCGTGGCCCTCACGTTCTGCTTCTCGCTCTTCGGGATCGGAGGCGGGTTCGCGTTTTTCAGACCGCAGCCATTTGGACCATAGCTGCCTGGAGTCAGGAGCTGGGCCTTAGCAGGGGCAGCGGCAGGGGCCC